AGAAACACATTTTCCGCTCCTAAAATTCCCCCCGTTTCATTCCTCATACCTTGGATCGACTTTGTCATATTTTTTCCGTAATGAGAACATTATTTCCTTTCCTAAATAACTATTATTATGTTTTCATCAATTTATCTCCTTAAAATTACTCGCATTGGCTTATTAGTGCTATACTTGGCTTTCATAAAATATAGCATACGAGTATATCAATAACTATGTATGTTATTTCAAGCCCAAATTGAACCAACCCCCTTTGGAATACTGCTCGTATTGATCAAACACCAACCTTGATGCACATTCTGAGGCTTCTGGGTCCTGTAAAAAAACCTTCCTGTGACTATAGAGCTAAATTTAAAAAACCCAAAGTATAGAATATCTAAAAAAGTTTGAGCAGGTTTTCTCGCGCACTTATAAGGAACGCAGCGACATACAATGCCTCATCTTCACAAGCTCACAAAATTCAACCTCTGCGGGTTCGTAGGGGGGGACGGCGACAGCTAGTTAACAGAAAAACAGACTTCAACAGATTTTTTTGAGGTCATGTTACAGTTCGTCCTGACGAAATATCTGAAACAACCAAATATCTGAAACAACAACATATTTTGTGACCATCCACATACTTCTAATAGAAATTCATATCACTCAGAAAAATTCTCTAAATCGATAACGTTTTTAAAAGCAACATAAAGTTATATACTTTTTCTTGTCGAGGCACCCCTTCTTTCACAAGAGCTAAGGATCACGGTAAATATGAAAAGAACTGTCATATTACGCCACTTTCGTCTTTGGCTACTCACCTACAATGAGGACACTGCGATCTCTGCTCCGTCAGCCATCTCCTGATGCACACATAGCAGCAAAGTTTGGAGCAATGCGGGCACAGGTGTGCGTCCCTCAGTTTTTCCATGCAAATAAAACATCGAAATACTTCCACCAAGGTGGATTCCGAGTTTGTGTTGTAACATTCCATGATTTTGAATAAGTATACGAATGAAAAAGAATCGGAAAATCGAAAGGGAAATTTTCTGTCGTTTTGACAGGTCTTTATCACTGACGTTAAAAACAGTCATTAGAATGCGCTTAGAGCACAACAGAGAGCGTAACAAAAAAATTGTATTTTTGAGCATGTACTTTTTATTCTTCAAATCTGTTGCATTTCTCACTTCCCGTAATCCTAGAAGAGTCAGAATATTACAAGAAAAGTATTACAAGGAGTATAATATCATGCTAGACCCCTTTAAAAGTGTTGCATTCAAACAAGCGCGGAATGCACGCGACGCAGCACGAAGAAATTTACAAACAGATCCCACTATATGTTACCAAATAACGTGCTTTCGAAAACTGTGATAAAATTATTTCGTTAGTTATCAATGTCCTTGGGATATTATAGCTGATAATTTACTACAATACTAATGATTGCTATCAATTCAATTTAATCACGTCTGGGTCAACTGCATAAGGGTCAACTGAATAAGAAGTGAACGGTAAGTATGTTATCTATGAGTAACTTATAATCTAGTATTCCGTCTGTCACCGACAGACCAGTGGCCAGTGCGGGAGTGCAACGAGCAAAATGGAAACATACCAATTGCAACTGACCACACAAAAGAATGAAGCGGTCTTTTAGTAAAGTAACTCCTTCATACTTCATTCTACAATGGACAGTTGAAGTAGATTGAATACTGAGGGATATGAATGGATACACTTTCGCAGAACATAAAAAAGGTCGAAAGCTATGTTACGGCTGTTTCAAGTATTTTACCTATCGAAGGAGGACCCAGAATATCGAAGAGACTGTTTCTTGTTGTTAACTCTCAACTGGATTATCGATTACCAATTCGGGAAAAATATCGACAGACACAGGAGTATTAGCAGGAATTCTCCTGCTAATAACCTTCTAATTAAAGGGAGAAAGAAATCATACCACGAATTACCAAAAATGATCACCAAAAACAACATTGTGAGAAGATGGAAAAACAAATACAATATTTCGACGTTCGGAAGATGGACTTGGAGACGGTTGCCAAACTTCATTACACAGATATGTTTAGGGCATGTCTGCTTTAGAACGAAGTAAATCCTACAATTGTGTGCAATTGACATCGAACTCACATTATTTTTTTGCGAAAGGCGGAATAGAATTATAAAAAAGTATATCTAAGAAAGTGAAACAATTTTCAACCCAAAAACATGCTTAGAGGTCTAACGAATTCAGAGGACTCGTGGATAACGACTTACAGAGTAATTCGGTCTATTATCGAAACAGGAAGTCGAATATAACCAGACGATCCCAAACACCGAAGTAATGTGTTAAGTGACCGTCTGAAAAAAAATTGAATTATTGCTCGTACAATTTAGAAAAAGGTCAGAGACAGCTCGTCGTATCTCATGCTAATTTGAGGTAATGGATCTCAGGATCAAGCATTTCATGAGCAATCAAAATCATGTTCAAAAAACTGTGGCAAACATCCAACAAAAAACCTGTATAAACTAGTTCAGGTAAAAAGATTGTTGAAATGGGTGTCATGAACATATTTTCAGTTTTGGTATTTCGAAATTACCTGAATTTGATCAAAAGAGTTAATGGATCAGAAGATTACCTTAAACTCTGTTTTCATCCAAAACTCCATAACATATGCACACGCTACTGGATCAAGAGCTTGCTGTGTTAATTCCAGTTGGTTATCCCAACCCAAAAGTTTATCCAGATCTTAGTTTAAATATAAAACCCCGAAAATGCTAATTTTCGAAAATCTGTAGTGGAAAGAAGAGACGAATGTAATGTTGTCAGGAAAGCAAAAAATTGGATTTCTAGTCAGGTCAATATATAATGATTGTGTAAAGGTTGATTTTAAGACAGATCCTTGGGAAACACCAGAGTTGATGGTGAATGTATCCGAGAGAGAAACATCGACGTCTATTTGTGAGGAACAGTATTCGAGAGCCAGAACAAATCAATATTACTGGAG